TGCTCTCCTTCCTCACCCCTCAGCTCTCAGCTTGCTGTACTGCTGCTGTTTCACATGAAGAAATCTGTGAATGGCTGAGTCTAGTAACATTCCCTTTGTTCATTTCCCCTGAATTCCCTGACAATGGAAACAGTACCTTTCAAAAAGATCTACTTTGCAATAACCCTAAATTCATAAAACTCTACAGAAATACATATAAGTATACACACTGTTCTTGTGTATCTGACATCAACCCTCCCTGCTACACCTAAATCTCCCAATTTGTAAGTAAATTACAGACATCATGTCTCATATCAATATACATGCAGGAATTTCCTTCCCAAGTGTGAGCCACTTTCTGGCAACAACAATGTTAAAACGAGACTAGACTTCATTTACCTTAACTCACCAACCTACATGCTCCAAGTTGAGCTGTTCTGGCGATATCATTCATTAGACCAGGAACCAAGTCCAAACCACGGTCATGAGTCACATTGAGCTAGTGTCCACAATCAGAAACAGCTCGACAACTGTGGTGGTTTGAAAGAAAATAGCCCCAAAAGGCTTGGCACTATTGGGAAGTATGGCTTTGTTGGAGGAAGTGTGTCACTGTGGGGGTGGGCTTTGAGGTCTCTTCCTCAAGCTTTGTTCAGGGTGACAATCTACTTCCTGTTGCTTGCATATTGACGTGTAGAGCTTCTTCTCCAGCTCCATGTCTGCCTGCACGCTGCCATGCTCCCCGCCATGATGATAATACACCTCTGAAACTGTAAGTTGACACCTCAATTAAATATTTTCCTTTATAAGAGCTGTGTGTGGTGTTTCTTTACAGCAATAGAAACCCTAAGACAACAGGGGATTCCTAAAAATCCCCAACCACTTGTTTATAGACTGTCTCTGGTTTGGTTTCTCTGGGTGTCTCTTCATGATGGACACCTTTATGCCAAGATGATACCACATTACTGATGCTACTTTCTCCTGAAGCAAACGAGGAAACACACCTGCTGTGTTCCTGTATCCTACTAGTGACAGCATTCTGTCTTAGGACAGTTTCTTCAACTCTAAGTACACTGATAAACACACTATATTCACAAAATAATAATTTCTGGGGTGATTCTTTAAGTAAGACTATATAATTGTTCCTATTTTTCACCAAATGCTCATTAACTTCAATATCTGTTGACTGCTAAATAATGACTCTAGGATTACAAATGGGTGATTTTTCTCTCTCATTCCATTTGTTGGTTTGCCTACTGTAGAACTGAATGCCCCCCTCCTGTTTGTTTATTCACTTATGGCTAGTGCGGACTCTTGAACTACTATTTTATTCAGAGGATTACACATGATTACCATAGTCATTCACTGTTCAGATTTTCTTGGACCTGGTCCTCCTTTCAGATAGCCCTGGTGATAAGCTCCCACTATTCTCCATTTGGTTGCACCATTTAGTGCAACCAGAATGTCCCGTTTCATTCAACTTGCCCTTTGCTCCAATTTCAATCACCACAGATACGCTAGTGACTCTGAAATTTGTAACTGATGTGTCTTATTTGAATTGAGCTTAAATATTTAAGACACAAGTAATTTCTATCTCAGATTTAATATATTGATAGTAACTGACATCTTTTGAATCAGGGTCCTGCTATGTAGCTCATGCTGACCTCAAACTCATAAATCCTCCTGCCTTAGCCTCCTAGGGGCTAAGATAGTATTTTTTTTTAAGGTCATTCTTTTCTTTCTACACACTAAGTTTAATTCTTTTATACCCCCTAAATGTATTCATGGCATGTAGGGTGGTTTAAAAATAGATTCACACCTGTAAGTTTCCATAACTACTATCCTGGTAAGATGTAGCCACTGGTGCAATAGAGGATGAATCCTGCAGGGATAACCAACTACTATCTGATTGGATTTAAGTCCCACTCCATGAGACAGAACCCATACCTGCCACTGTTAATAGGGTTAAGAACCTATGGCTAGATGAGTCACAGGTTCTAGGGGAAGAACCTACCATTGTTCTGCTAAATGGACATACTATTATATAAAAAAAGACTCCTAATGACTTATTGCTATAGCCATAGATCAGCATCTTTCCACCCTCATCAGAGTAGCTACTTCTTGCAGCAGATGGCGATAAACAAGAGACCCAGAGCTGGTCAATGTGCAGAGAATAAGAGGACAGGGATTACTCACTCCTAAATGGGATGCCTATTTCACATCCTTCCCCACAAGGCTTAAAATGTTCACATGGTCTTTATGTATTCCTAACTTCAGAGCTGGCATACAAGACTGTGACTTACTTAGTTAGTGACTTATTTCTAACCAGAAGATGGCAGAAGTCAGTGACCTCTGAGACACCATCACTTCCTTGTTGTTCCTTTCTGGGGCTGCTAAGGCCTGGGTGTTCAGGCTGCTGTGTCGTGAGGACATTAGGGCTGCACTACACAGAAGTCCAGACAAAAAGAGCCCATGGCCAGCAACAGAAGAACCAAGGCCTTCTACCTACATGGACGTGTGTGAACCTTGCCTTGGAGGAAGTGGATGTCTCCAATCAACATAACTGGAACAACAGAGGAGCCCTAGAGCTTGGGGCGGTAAGTTGAGCTACACCTGGACTCTGGTTCCTGGAGACTTGAGACAACTCTGTCATTCAGGCATGCCTTATTAGGTGACTAACACTCAGCAACAAAGCATCTAAAGTCATAGTCCAGGAGTAGAAATGACTAAAGCAACAGTGTACTTTCTTCCCTCTCTAAACACACTTTACTTTTTTTCCAGTGAATAACACCATCATTGTCCCAGCATTATGAATGTTTTAGGTAAGCAGTACCAGTTAGACACTGCTGATTTGTTAATTCAGGGCCTCTTCCAATTTCAACTCCTATCGTACAATATCCACCTTTCCCAGTGCATTCTGTAGACAGAGGCCGACAAAAGCCGTTTTCAGACACATACTTGATCACATTACTTATTTTCTTAAACTTCACCACAGGTTTCCACGCTGTGTGGGAGAGGATCCCAGCATTTGAACTATAGCTTTCTTAGTCATCTCATGTTTACAGTCTGGGTTCTGGGCCACCTTTCACCTTTTCATATTCTGCAGCTTTTTCCTTCTCTAACTCCTACTCATTAAAAAAAAAAACCCAACAACAACAACAACAACAAAAACCTAGCTCAAGTTTAATTTCACAAACTCCCTCCTTAATTATCAGGACTTGGTTATATGCTGTCTTTCTCTTTTCTTTTTGTAGTGGCAGGGATGGAACTCAGGGTTTCAAGTATGCAAGGTCAGGTTCTCTACTAAGCTGTCCCTCAGCCCAAGATGACTTTTAAAAATGACTTATTAAGCACTCACCACACAAATTTCTCTGCTAGAATGCACGCCTACAAGGAAAAGAAAAATATGACTTGAGATGTTGTCTCATGTAGCCATCTATCCTTGATTACTATACTATACTACACTAGGTATTGCTATTTAGTGGTGAAAGAAATATATGCTGTCCCTCCAGAGATTATTGTCTACTGTCAAGTAAACAATATTGAGGTCTCAATTTGACAAAGAGACAACAGTGACCTAGTGACATTTCATGACACAACGCTATAGTCAAATTCTTGAACTTGTTTTCTAAGATGTTTACATAAATTATACTTTCACACAAAATAAACAAACCAGGTTTAGGTTTATAATACCTAATATCTCTTTTTCTTTCCTATGCATCTAGACAGAATCTTTGGTCACAGGCATGTTAGGTGAGTACTCTGATATCTAAGCCCCAGCTTGTATTAAAAACAACAACAAAGACTTTGCTATACTATTATTGACATCACTACCTTGCTTACAAATTCTTTATGCTAAAAGAAGACAACATCAAATATGTGTTTAAAAAGAGCCTTTGTTAAGCACAGTGGAAAATAAGTTCTATGTGATCAGAATTGTTCACAGGCCTGATAATTAGAAAATAATCACTTGTAGACAGAGGCAGCCAAGGTAAAGCCTTTGACACTTAGACTGCAGCAAGTACTGTCCAATTTTGGAAAAGAGCTAATTCCAAAGGCATCCCATACCTGACACTCACGAGCTGAATGTCAAATGAGTTACAACTAAGACATTACTGGATAAATGCCTAAGTGACAAAGTTAATGGAGGAAAGCTAAGTGCTTTAAAAGGAGAGTAGTAGATTGAGGGAATGATATATTAAAATCCATTCAGAAGCTGGATGTGGTAGTGTACACCTTTAATCCCAGAATCCAGGAGGCAGACACAAGTGATTTCTGTGTTCCAGGACAGCCAGAGTTATGTAGAGACTCTGTTTCAAACAAAACAAAACAAATATACTAGTATGTACTAATAATTAGGCAACCAATTCCTCAGAAAAATCAATTCAAAACAAAATTTTCAGCTTAAAATATTTTTAGAGGATTTATGTCTTTTTTTAATTAGACAATTTTATTTTTGGATGTGGATGCTCTGTCAAAATGTATATATGTACACTACATACATGCAGTATCCACAGAGGCCAGAATAGGACATCTGAGCTCGTGGAATTGGAGTTTTAGATGGTTGTGGGCAGTGGTGCAGTAGGCCCTTCTGTCTATGTGTTACTTTTATTGGTTAATGAGTAAAGAAACTGGCTTAGCCTATAGCATGGGAGGAGGAAGGCAGAGTTAGAGAGACGCCATGTAACCCCGCCAGAGACAGACACTGGAACTTTAGCAGGTAAGCCACAGCCACGTGGTGATACACAGATTAATAGAAATGGGTTAAATTAATATGTAAGAGTTAGCCAATAAGACACTAGAGCTAATGGGCCAAGCAGTGACTTAATTAATACAGCTTCTGTGTGATTATTTCAGGGTTAAGTGGCCGGAAACCAACAAGCGGTTCCCTTCTCACTACAGGGCAGCCATGTGATTGGGAATCAAACCTGGGCCTCTGCAATAAGCCATTTCTTTAGACCCTGATTTTTGGGTATAATTTCCATTGAACACCCCCCCCCAAAAAAAACAACATGAAAATTGTCTTTGGATTACAAATACTTTATTTATGAAAAAAAACATGAAAATTGTCTTTGGATTACAAATATTTTACTTATGATATGGCAAACACATTTCTGATACTTTTAGTGTTTATTAAAAAATAGGTTAAAAAAGTGAACAAGTCTGTTCCCTCAAACCCAAACTGGCCATACCTACTACTGATGATGCTTTCTGAATGAATCAGGATAAATGAGACAAAAAGAAAAGAAAAGAAAAAATTGTAGACTTAATGGCACTTTACCCATGCCTGATGGAATGAATAAGCTTGCTTTCCCTGGAATGCCTGCACCCTCAGATGTCTTTGCTTTCGGCAGTGTTTCGCCACACTCAGAAGAAATTTGTGCAAAGTTGTAGAGGCACTGTCACCAAAGCTGTCGCACCACAGAATGCTAGTGTTTTTGTAAAACATGTGTGGTTGCCTAGTAGGAAAATATTAATTTGCCACTTTTCAGACACAGAGATCTTCCTTGTTTTCACTTCCTGCGTCCACAATGGAATTTCAACAGGTTTTCAAACACATCAACGGTAGTGTTAATACTGACAAAAATGGGCCGTAAACAATGCACACAGCTGTTTCTAACAGTGGCAACATTTAAGCCAGTCTCATTAGACTGGAAATATAATCAAATTATTAACATAATACATGACAGTTCCTAAAACAGCAAGTGGTTTTCCTACCTATGATCTTTATAAAATAATACTATAAAAATATTTTTCTTATTCAGTTTGCCTCTCTGCAAATGGAGCGTTCTAGATTCTCCATGCAGCAGAGATGAGGAGGGACACTACTGCTGTCACTGACTTTCCTGCAGTCAGTTTCCAAGGCACTTTGTAAAAACTCCAGGATAGCAAGGGAAACACTCTTCTTGCTGATTTTTTTTGGGGGGGGGGCGCATTTCCCCTTATAGTTCAACATTAAAAACAGTTACAACTGGTTTTTCTGAAACTTCATTTTCCATGGTCCAGGCCTTATGTTATTTTCCTTTTATTCTGAGCCACTCCTTCATTTTCAACTTGCTGAACTGGCAGGGAACTATTTTTGGTTTCCATGGAAACTGGATTCCTGTGGCTATGGGTAGGAATTCTTGTCCCACCAACCTAAAAGATAGAGCAAGAGCAGAACAACTTAATACATTCATAACATGCCTGCACACAAACAACCCTGTATCATTTACACAGAGACTCTCAATTTGGGAATGACCTTTTGTACATTTTTAAGTCCCAGACACATGGCTATTTAAGAAGTTTAAGTCTGATTCAGTTTTAAAAGCAATAAGGAAAGAAGTTGGAGTAGGGCTCTGCTGTAAACTGCTGTTAGATTTGCACAATGCTGAAAGGTGAACTTAGAAAGTGAGGGAAGGCCAGATCTTTGGAGAAAGTGTGCAGTTCTGTGGGAGGGCAAGGAAGAAAGGAGAAAGGTGAAGATAGGGAGAGGATATAAAAAGGGGTAGAAAGACAAAAGAGAGGACAGAGAGTAAGATGGCAAGGCAAGAAGATAAGACGATGTAAGAGATAAAGGGTAAGAAACAGTCTAAAAAGAAAGAAATAAAAAATGTGAAAGAAAAGAAGGGGGAGAAACCGAGAAGAAAGACAACACTGAGGAAGGAGAACAGGACACCAACAGAAACGGTGAAAGGAAGAGACGGGCATAGCTGAGAGGAACGCCAGCTCCCCTCATGCCTGCTCCAGCTTGCACCTAGTTTCCATAGTCTCAGAGAGAAGAACAGTCTGCTAATCAAGAGTCCTGGCTAAAGAGAAGACTTGGAAATGCTGTCACCTTCCTGGCCACTTAGAGACCTCATACAGGACCAAAGTTGTACAGCCTGCAACCATTTCCATAAAGCAGCCTGTATCTGCCACAGCTCCCCTAGCCACCTCACAAAGGCATTGTTTCTGGACATCCCATGCAGTCAATCCTGCAGAGGGGAGGGTAAGGGCAGTGGTGATGCAAACTCACTCTTTCACTGTCTAGCCCAACAAATGAAGTGCCAGCATTGTGGTTCCCTAAGAATGTACCAGAATCTAGCGTCTCTACTTTCTCTTTCTAGAGCTTTTAGAGTTTGCTTTTACATGACATGACTAGAGTGGGGGCATATGGAGCTTTAGTCAGCAGTGTGTCTGTTGTTCTCTGATGCGCATGCCATCTACGCCCAGTAAGCACTGACTCTCAGATGCCTGCCACTTCCCCACTCCACTGGGATTTTCCCTGAAGGTACTCATTAATTGGGTTTTTGAGAATGGCAAATACTTTGAAAACTGTATGAGTGTCCAATAAAATGTCTATTATGGAACTTATGGTGATGAAGGGGAACAGATGGGATTCTGCAGTCCTACTCTTGCTTGGTACACTAGGAGGCAGCGCAGGTCTACTGTGTACACGTCAGGGTTCAGGGCTGCAGGCCCTGTCCAGGAATGAGCACTTGGTTCAAGAGCACTAGGGATGGAAGATCACAACAAGGCGAGGCTACACCAGAAGAGATGTAAACAGCTGTTTCATACAGGCTCTGACTTCCCAGTTTTCAGAAAGCTCCCGTACTTCCACACATCTGCTAAGGCTAGAATCCCACAGGTGCTGAGCTTGGTTGGAATTATAAAGTCCTGTTTTCATGGTCCAGCTAGGAAGGCAGGGAGCCATCAGGGCAGGGAACTGCAGAGCAGATACAATCCTATCCAATGTGAACAACAACAAAAATCAACAATTAAAAAGTCCTCGGCATTTGTAGGAAAAGCTATTTCTTAAAAGGGCTTAGGGATGTTTACTAACTAACTGGGCATAACAGAGAAAGGAAAAAAGAACAGTGTTCAGGATATACACATATGCATCTATAAAAGGCTAGCTGTAGTGGGAGGGTTTCTCCTGACTTTCAAAACACACCGAGGTAACACTGGTTATCTAAATGTCTACGTCCCCCAGTGCTGGGCTATGCAACAGTCCAGCGATACCCATGGCTGAATTGTTAGAATGTACACTTATGTGTTCGAATCTGAGCACACAGAATTTCTCCTTGTCCGAATGAATTTTCTTATTACACTGCAGCACATCTAGACCACTCTACTGAAAAAGTCAAAACTTCCAGGTATTTCTAAGGCATAAGCATTCAATGTTTGAAGTCAGTCTGTACCAATAAAGTACAACATTATCACTCACTTCTTTTAAAAGACACCCTACATAAATGTTTTCATCAACTTAAAATTGTTCAGTTCCAAGGTATTAAACCATACATTTTCACAAAAAAGGAATAAGAGACACCCCCATACAGAATTATATGTTACACTTGACAGACTATAATTACTGTTTCTAAATTAAAAGAAAACTGTCCTTTTAGAATACATATTTTCAAAAAAATTTCAATTATTTTTAAGTTACTTAAGAAATTTCTTACAGCCAGTGGTGGTGCATGCCTTTAATCCCAGCACTCAGGGAAGTAGAGGCAGGCGGTTCTCTGTGAGTTTCAGGACAGAGATATACAGAGAAACCCTGTTTTGAAAAACCACCACCAACAACAAAACATTTTCTTAGATTACAAAAAAAATCACTACTTTAAAAACAGTATTTAGAAACTAAAAATACCAAAACTGAAGATAAACACAGTGCTAACTTTCTCCATTTTTCATTTTCTCAACTAGTTTGCCGCATTTATAGTTTCTCGTCAAGGTTTACTAGGAATGGATAAGGCATTTCAGGGTGAAATGCCTGCTTAACATGCACAGGGCCTGGCTTCAGTCTCTAGCACAAGAATATTGGCAAATGAATAGAACCATTTTCTCAAACGATGATCTCAAGGTGGAGAACTAAACAGTAAGTATAATCCTAGCCAATAGGAACAATAAAATCAACCTCAGCAATTAAAATCCTTGGTATTTGTAGGAAGAAGTATTTTCTCAAAAGGGCTTGGGGACATTTACAGACTACTTGGGGGCATAACAGAGAAAGGAAGAAAGGAGTGTTCACAGGACACACATGTACAGAGAACAAAGAACTCAGTAATTTGGCTCAAAGGTATTGGGGCAACAGGGTAGGAAAATACACTGAGTTTTTATTTAATGGACATGTGGTTCATTTGCAAACAGCAAAATTCTTTCTACAGCTAAGTTCGTTTTTTTCTTACTTATGAATGACCAGCCTTAGCTTGACATGTTTCTTGTCAGCTTCTCTTAAGTTAACCTGTCTACCTTTGCCTCTGGGCTTTTACCATTCTCTTACTTCTGTCTATCTTACTTTCACTCTTACTCTGTGATTGGCTGGGTGGCTAGTCCCTGATCTCAACTCCTTGCTCTTCGTTCTCTCTTGCTCCTCGTCTCTCTCCTCCCAGATTTCTCCTTCTATTTACACTCTCTCCCTACTAGCGCCACCTATCCTTGCTCCTGTCTCACTATTGGCCATTCATCTTTTTATTAGGACCATCAGGTGTTTCAGACAGGCACAGTAACACAGCTTCACAGAGTTAAACAAATGCAGCGGAAACAAAAGTCACACGTCTGAAAATAATATTCCCCAACATTTCCCCTCCTACAACTAAGTTCACACTGAAACTGATGACATAAAGAATCATGGCATGGTAGAGAGACATTATAGAGAGTATCTGCAGTCATGGCTTCAAATTCCAGGTTTAAAAAGCAAATGCTTGGCACAGGAGATCACTTCCTAAATATAACCCCAGTAGCACAGACACTGAGAGAAACAATGGAACCTCCTGAAACTGAAAAGCTTCTATAAAGCAAAGGACACAGTCAACAAGATAAAAACAGCAGCCTACAGAATGGGAAACAATCTTCACCAATCCCTCATGGGATAGAGGGCTGATCTCCAAAATATACAAAGAACTCAAAGAAACTGGCCATCAAAAGAACAAATAATCCAATAAAAAATGGGATACAGACCTAAACAGAGAACTCTCAAGAGAGGAATCTAAATTGGCTGAAAGACACTTAAGGAAATGCTCAACATCTTTAGCAATAGGAGAAATGAGAATCAAAACAACTCTGAGATTGTATCTTGTATCTGTAAGAATGGCAAAGATCAAAAACACTAATGATAACCTATGCAGGAGAGGATGTGGGGTAAAGGGAACACTCTTCCACTGCTTGTGGGAGTACAAGCTGGTACAGCCCTTTTGGATATCAGTATAGCAATTTCTCACAAAATTAGGAAACAAGCTACCTCAAGACCCAGCAATACCACTTTTGGGTATATATCCAAAGGATGTTCAATCATACCACAAGGACATGTGCTCAACTATGTTCATAGTAGTATTGTTTGTCACAGCCAGAACCTGGAAACAACATAAAAGCCCCTCGAACAAAGAACGGATAAGGAAAATGATAGATTTACACAATGGAGTACTGCACAACAGAAAAAAATGACATCTTGAAATTTGTGGGCAAATGGATGGATCTAGAAAACATCATATTGAGTGAGGTGACCCAGACACATAAAGACCCAGAAAGACAAATATCGTATGTACTCACTTATAAGTGGCTTTTAGACATAAAGCAAAGCCTACAATTCACAATCCCAGAGAACCTAGAACAATGAGGACCCTAAGAGAGACATACATGGAAAGTAGTAAAAGACAAGATCTCCTGAGTAAACTGGGAGCATTGGGACCATGGGAGAGGGTAGAAGGGGAGAGGAAAGGAAGGGAGGGAAGTGGAGAAAAATATATAGCTCAATAAAAAAAATGCTACTCAGCTAGGTGTGATGGTATAAACCTTTAAACCCATCACTTGGGAGGCAGAGGCAAGAGGATCGCTGAGAGTTCAAGGCCAACCTGGTCTACAAAGCAAGTTCCAGAACAGCCAGAGCAACACAGAGAAATCCTGTTTTGAAGACTCCCCCCACCCCAAAAAAAGAAAGAAAAGAAAAGAAAAATATGCTATTCAACTGATGTTTCCAGAAGGGTTTTACAATGAATATAACATTAATAGTAATTCAATAAACCCTAAGTTACAAAATACTTAGCATAATACAACTTAGCTCTTAATAGTTTACTATATTTTAATAAGCCACTTCACTCACTAATTACTAATACTTACTTCGAAATATTTCACCATATTACTAAGGATTTTTTATTATATCATAATTTTATTACATGGACTTTTTGCAAATTGCTTCAACTGTTTAATGGAAAAGGATAAACATAAAAAAGAACTAGGAAAATACAAATTTGCTTTGGGCAGAAACCCAGGCACTATAAACTTCACGGATGCCTCATGCATGCACACATACAGCAAGTTAGGAGAGATTCCTTAGCTGATTTATAAAACTTATAAGAAAGGAAGTTCTACTTACAGTACAGACATAGGTTTCAGATGCTGCGTGGCTACCAGGGCAAATGCAGACATCCATTGAAGGGAGTCAGAGAAACAGATTAGTAATCAACAGCCAAATAGGATACTAGTCATAAAGAAGATCTTACCTTTGGTTGTGCTACAGGGCGCAGTGATTTAGGCGGAAAAGTACACGGAATTCGTCCATGATGGATGTGATATGGTAACAGGTAACTGGGATCTAATGGAACCCAAGGAACTGAGAGACTGGAAGGTACACCAGGAAGGTCACAATGCGCTTTATGCAAATTATACGCTGTCCTAGTAACTTTTCCATCTGAAGTCTTGTAGATCAGGAGTGAAGAATCTTCTGCTGCGTGAGACAGCAAGTAGGACCCATCCTGCAAGCTACATCCAACATGGAAGACTCAACTCACTGGGCTTATATTGCCAATGTCACCACATAGCAAAGCAAAGCTACCACAGGAAGAGAATGCCACCTCTGAAAGCATTTCAGGACCAGGAAAGGTAAAGATTTCAGAAGCTTTTAAAACTATACCCACCTCACAATAAATTTTAGCTTTTTTATTCCAAAATTCAGAAATATCTGGCCATTTTCTTTTTACTGCTTTATCAATTTGTAAAAGTCAATCACTTAATGGAAAAACAATCCATCTAACTCTCTAATCTATGATATACTCCAACCATATATTTCATTCATTCAGTGTACTTGGTTTCTAATAGGCAAGAGAATAGAAACACAAAAAGGATACATGTGACATGTCAGAAACAGGTGAAGGAACATGCAGGAAAGATGTAGAAAGTAGAGCAGGCTTGCGTGTTTATGAGGTAACTAACTGCTATTTTGCCCCACTACCCACCTTCATATTAAATCCTTCACACAGAGATTCAAGCTTAACTCCAAATTGGGCATAAATAAACATGAGATGCTAAGCAATCTGTCCATAGTTCTGTGCACAGTAGGGCTACAATCAGACCTGGCTTTTTGGTTTGCACACAGGTCAGAGCCTCAATCACAATCCTCTATTAATACAATAACTGATGATGGCCAATCTACTACATTTTTCTTTGCTTACTGTAAAGCTTCAAGGGATTCACTGGATCATCATAAAGAACAAAAGGCATGGGGGCAGTGGATCATGTTTTCTCGGGAATACACAATCTCTAGGCCAAAGGAGCAAAGAGAACAGTTCTTTTCCACATTATTAAAATGAAGATGATCAGTTTTAGTTATATAGCTCTGCCTACAGACATAATGAGCTACCTTTTCACTAACTTTTAAAACTCAAAGTAACTGGTGCTGACAAAGGAGGTCCAGAGAACTATTATTAGCTTCTAGGAAGGCTTTTCCCTCTCTCATCACTTTCATATAGGGAGACAAGGGAGACAAATGACTATTTGGTAGTAAGAATAAATAATGCTTCAAATATTGAGTTTCTAATCAATGAAACTCATGTATCTTAGAAGTTTGAAGTCAGACTGGGCTATTACAGTAAGGATCTGTGTGTGTGTGTGTGTGTGTGTGTGTGTGTGTGTGTGTATGAGTGAGTGAGAGAGAGAGAGAGAGAGAGAGAGCATGTACTGTGTGCATGTCTGTGTGTGTGTATGAGAGAGAGAGACAGAGAGAGAGAGAGAAATATGCATGAGATAAATACATTTGTCATTTCATTACAGCCAGACACTATCATGTTATCTTTTTACTCATATTTTTAGAATTTTAACTGATCAAAGACTTGTACACTTTTAGTGTTTTCATCTATCTCTAACAACATAGTGACAAAGCTTCTAATAACTTCCAGCAAAAAAAAAAAAATCAAAATACCTATGCAAAATACCTCAAAGTACTTACCTACATAATTTCTTTAGAACGTGCTGGAGAATGTTAAATAAACTTGAAATCCTATTATTAAACAGAAGAAACTGAAGTGAAATTAAACTGAAAAAACAAAACAAACAAACCCAGAAAGCCTCACTAATAACGTGTGGTCTACTGCTCACAGTCAAAGGCACCAGCAGGCCAATAATGCAGGGCAAGGACCAACCAGCAAGAAGACTGTGCTAGGGAGAGACATTTAGATGCCTCTTTTCATGTTCATGAAGTATTTGGCTCTGTGTTAGAGCACTTATAATCATATAAGTAAAAATTATTGAAACAATATAAAAATACAGAACAGCTGTAATCAGTGGTCAACAAAATTGACTTTATGCACGTGCAATGACAGAAGCAAAGAGTGGGAACAGACTAGTCCATGGGAAAGAGAAAGTATTATTCTAGGTATCTAGGTATTTCCTTGGTGCCTCATTTACATATAAACTTATTTCCATTATTATTTCTTTTTTTTTTAAAATAAACCTTCATTAAAAGTGAAGGGTTAGTTAGTAATGTTGTCATGATTTTTTTTCTTTTTCTTTCCTTCTTTCCCCCCCTAAACAGAGTTTCTCTGTGTAGCTTTGGCACCTGTCCTGGAACTCACTCTGTAGACCAGGTTGGCCTCAAACTTACAGAGATCTGCCTGTCTCTGCCTCCCAAGTGCTGGGATTAAAGGCGTGCATCACCACCGCCCCCCCACCCCGGTATGTCATGACTTTCCTATGAACACATATAAAACAGTTCTTACAGAGTAAACACTTAGAGTAAAGAGTTCAAATTTGATTGTCCCTCACAGAGCTGTGTCAGGTCAAGTGGAGCTTTGCAGCAAGGTTGTGTTCCCAGCTCGGCCTGCGCTGGGGTGAGCTTCTCAGTCCCAGCTTCTCTGTATAGGAAATGGCCACGATGCTACAAGCCTTGCATGCCAAGTTGTATGATAAAATAAGACAGTCTGCATAAGCTATTTTCCCTCACAATGAGGCACTCAGGAGTTCTGAGGACCACTTGTTTAGTTCTGATGTCTAATATTTGGTAGGATGGGCAAATTTTCAGAAGTCTGGTTGTCCAGTCAGTCACATAATCCCCATAGCTGAAAGTCTGTGGCTGTCTCATCCTTCCCTTCTCTACACAAGGCCAGAATGTTTGCTTCTCTTGCACTTTAACACAACGCACTCTCTGGCTCTAGCCTCCTTTCTTTAAAGTGGGAAGACATGTTATCAGCAGTACATTTCTTTGCAGATGGAGACAAATAATGTAAATTGGGTTGGGGGCCCTCAAGATCTTGAAAGAAATCAATCATCATTATTTAGAGGTAAAAAAAAAATCTGAGACCACATTACAGGAGTGAAGTCTTTTCAGTGTCCACCACAAAGCACTTCCTTACTTGAGTGCTGCAAGCTTTTCTTTTAATTCTTCTGAGGTGATTTCTTCTAGCATGAAAAGCTTTGAAGTAAATGCATCAATATGCCCTAAAAGAAAACACTGAACTTAAAGAAACCCAAGTCACTGAAATTATAACACAAAACAAACTAGTTAACTAGTCTCTCTATATAAGGATGATTTTACACTTTTTAAAAAACTATAAAGGACTTTGTATTATTTAAAAGGAGAAACATATCTCACTAGCTAGCAAGTAAACTTGAATTTACAATGATAGAAAATACAAATTATGTCATGTATTCATTTAAAAATATATGCTGAATATAGGAAAGTTGACACATGCCCACACTCCCCAAACAGTATTATTGCCTCTAAACCTTAATTTAAGAGCAAAAACTGCTCAGCCATTGGTGTTTCTAGTTTCCACTAAAGTTCCTGACATTGTAAGGTAAGCATGAGCTCACCATGTAACTAAGCAGTTAAAAATCCAATCTGTGGACTGGGCATGCTCAATAAGTCTCAAAACCACATCACTGTAAAACTTAGACTATAAAAATACAGATTTTTTTTTTAAAATTAAAGCAATCATAAATGTTTCTGTGAGTAAAACAATCTATTCAAAGTCTTATTTTCTTTTATGCCTGATATAAACCTATAATTCACAAAATCTCAAGCATTATATTCTTAAAATTACATTCTGTTGTAGAAAGTAATGTGCAAACTTTAAAACAAAATAAGCTGAGACATGCACTGAGCTGCTGCAATGTTCTAAGTGACAGAGGAGATCCTAATCAGGGTAAAAGCAACAGTGGGTCAGCAGGCAGGGCATGCTACTACTACTGTATGAAGGTTAAAAACATCACAGAGTAAGAGTAGCACCCACCAATGCTGAATATAATGGTTTAGATCTATTTATACTTTTAGCTCCTAATATTTTGTTAAAACAAGTTCCTCAGAAAAGTAGGTATCAGTCATTGGGACTACAAAAATTGCATATAGTTTAATATCTCATTTCAATATCTAGCCTACTTTAATATCATTTGCTTTATGCTCAAAGAAGTTAATTAGAAACATTTTTACTAGAAGTCTTCCCTCTATGACAACATATCCATTTATTCCCACAGTCACTTGTTATTTCTTAAGCCAACTTTAGTTTCACCTCTTCATTTCTAGTGCTCATTATATGTGATATTTCCAATAATAAAGACATTTTAATGGTTTCATAGCTATAAAAAGAGAATATTAACTGCAATAATGCATTTTTGATGTTTAATAAATAAACATTTGAGACTACTAACAGCACTTACCTTTTTTTAAAAAATCCAACCATAAAAAGTATGTAGTACCCAGCAAATAAAGTCCTGTCTAAGTTCTATGAAAGCCTGCTTCCTCAAGGAGGGAACTCTCAACACTGGAACCTTCTAACCTGAGGGCTCAAGTGAGTTTTTTCAGTGCCTGGGGCGCTTGAGCCAGATTTGAGGTGAAAGCTCTGACTATGGTCCTTTATTCATAAACAACCTCTGTTTTAGATCATACTTTAAAATGAGGTGCATTTGGGAGGCACTGCTTTAGACAGCAGAAATTAAGCCTTTTATGTTGATGCATCATTTATACAGAATCCATACATAGGTAGTCAGTCCTAGTTTTACATGCAGCACAAGTTTGTAAAAACAATCGTACAGGCTGAAGTCATGTATTGTAACAATAAGTAGGAAAATTTGCAATTATTTCACTATTTTAACATGTCTTATCAAAACAAAATCTCCATCAATTTAAGTATTTAAAGAAATAAAATACAAAAAATATGCATTTAGTATATTGCAATTCAAAACATCAAAAACAGCATAAATCCACATTTTCCAAAGTTTTACCCAGAGTAGTTTGATCACTGCTCACCACCTTCTCGGACAGCCTCTGACATAGAAACAGCTTTCCCCGCTGTGGCAACTGCTATACTCTTGGCTAAGTTAGGATCAACTCCCATAGTCTATCCAAGAATTCCTCTAACTAAAACCTATGCTGGCATCACTTCATCTCTGATGTCACACCACTGTCCTTGTTCATGTCAGTAGGTTAGGCATCAGCTAGTTTCTCTGGAACGACTGAACAGCCTCCTGAGCAGTGTCCGGATTCCCAGGCAGCTACTTCTTCTACTGCTCCATGCAAGTTTGATTATAATCTCCAGCGATATTACCTTTTCAGAGTTTTCTGTTTCTGCTTTTTCCCCCCCTTTATCTTAATCTTTGCTAGCCAATTTCTTGTTTTCATTATCTATTCTCATAAAATCTCATTATGGCTGACCATGAAAAGACAAGGAGGCATCACACTACACATTTGATTTCTGTACATGAACTGCTAAGAGGTACACAGTGACCAATCAATGCAGACTGAAGAGATACAGGCAGTCACTGCTCATGTATGTCTGTACTCTACATCATAATTAGTGGACTGAGGAGCTAGCTGTAAAGTTTATATGCAATTTCTACTCTTAATATACAGCCATAACAGAGGTCATGCTTGTAAGAACTGTGTAAAGTGAAGACTGACTGAATGCCAACTCGATGATTTGATAAATATCATAGCTTGACATACCATATCTACTGGACAGTAGATAGAGGAGTTATGATGAGACTACAGGCTTTCTTAAAGGAGTAACTCTTAAGGTTTATAATGGGTAAGACACTGTAATCTAGAGAAGGAGGTGAGCATATTTACATATAGCAAAGCAAGCAAGCAAGCAAACAAACAAACAAAAAAACCCAAGTTTACTGTACTGTGAGCTATGGTGGTTCTCAGAGTGCCAGAGACTAGCCATATTATTTATTACCTGAGATTGTGTTAAAACATAAAAGACCCAGATGCCATTCTGGACTACTCAATCAGACACTCTAGGATAAGCACTTCAAGTGATTTCATTGAGCATTCTTCTTAAGAGTGCTACAACACTTTTAAGCTCTTAACCTGATGGAAACTTGTGTGTGTGTGTGTGTGTGTGTGTGTGTGTGTGTGTGTGTGTGTGT